TTCATCTGCCCCCCCCCCCCCCCCTCGACGCCCAAGTGCCCACCCTTCATGCCCACGCGCCCTCCCCAACGCAACCGGTAGTGCCGTTGTCCCTCCACACACCAATCAAACACATAGCCGTACAAACCTTATGTGTATGGAACCATACAAATTAACCTTATCTTGTCTATGGCTCTACGCTTCAGTTGGATATTACTAGAATAGACATGAGCTGGACTGCTGAACATGGTCCACGCCGGAGAAGAATTGAAACCCTGTGGCGGGCAAGATGTAGATTTACCTCGGGTTAGTGCAAGGTTCATTGGCTTTCAGTATAACGGGAGAACAAAGAGAGGGAGGGGTCAACTTTGGTCATTAGAACATATCCTAGCGCTCTACTTGATATTTATTATAAAAACAATAAACTAACTTGTTCATAGTAGGCGTCTAGAATATTTGGCTGGCAAGAAATAGAAAGTCTTTAATAATGTCACACTCTCATGCTCAACAATCAAAGATAACTCTATGCAAACATTAATTTTTTTTGGAAACATAGAACCAAGAAGGAATCAAGGAAAATAGCTATCAAAGTATGGACACAAAAATAGGAACAAAGAGCTGAAAGTTCAAGAGCGACAACAACAGGTTGATATGATCAAATAGATAAAGAGCTGAATAGTTAACCTTGTTCCTTCTTCTTCTTTTATTTTTATTTTCATTTCCTCTAGTTTTGAGTTCTTTTTCTTCTTCCTGTTTTCCTCACTTTGTCTATTGTTCTCCTTCTCTTTTCTTTGCCACCTTGGCTTTGCATATGTACCACTTGCATTTCAAATTAATTTAAATTAAGTAAGGGCTTCCCCTCAAGTTCCTAAAAAAACATATGTGTGCTTATGTTCTTTCAAGTGCTCTCTATTTACCCAAATCCACAAAATAGTTTGGTAACCTCGAGCCAATCATTTCAGTTTTACTAAAGAAGATGCAACCATTGTTGGTTTTATCACACCTGGTTTTAAGAATAAAACCAAGCGCTAACTATATTTGTTCCCAAAATGTCCATATTACACATATAGCAACAAATATGAAACATATAAAAAACTGGTTTGGTTACATATCATTAAATATCATTACATGAAGCCCACAAACCTTTAACACAACTCTAAGTAAATGACTTCAAATCTCCTTGGTCACTGCATCTACCATGCAGACATCAACAGGGGAAGCACTTGTATGGTTCTCTTGGAAATCCTTAGGAAACTTATCATAAGCTTCTACATCTGATTACCTATCTAGGATTTTGTTGAAGTATAGTAAGTGTGACGACCATCCTACTCAACTATTATAACATCTGTTTATGCAATGCTCAAAACACCCGAGTCTACTATGTGCGGTAAGCATTTTTAGTTGATCATATTTTAAGATGTGAAAACATTTTTTAGCAAACCCACATGATTAATGGTGAAACAAACTGGAATTTCCAAAATAGAAATTCCGACTCTTTTGCCTGTCTGTGATAGTCCTAGGATATCTCGGCTGCATCCAATTTTCAACTCAGTACATTGCCATACAACATCAGAGTACATAAATAAGGTTTTTTTACAAAAGTCTGGATACAAGTCCTTGGGGCTAAATAAAAAATACCTATTTCTTAATCGTAGCAGCGAAACTTGGCGATTCTCCAATCCTAAGGCATCCTTGAGTGTGGATGAAACCGACTACTATCCTCAACTCCACTGCAAGTCCAAAAATATGCACACCATTAGATGTGTGCGGGCCACGGTTGGCACCAATGATCTTTAGTGAAAAATAGAAAATAAGGGATCAGGTGATTCTAGTGCTCACACAAGAGCTCTAGAAATTCGATCTGGCTGGACCACTTGGCGCTCTTCACACCTCACTTCTACTAGAGTTGCTCTTTGCGTCTTCCGTGGGGCGAACACACCCCCCTCACAAATCCTTCTCCAGAGCCGCACACAACCTTCATGTGGGCATCAAAGACCACAAGCCACCAAGCCATCTAGGAGGTGATGACCTCCAAGAGTAACAAGCACCACCGCCTTGCAACACGAACACCTAGTGCCACTCGATGCAATCTCTTAATACAGCGCACTAGGAATCGTTGTCTCACAATCAAATGCAATCACCAACTAAGCATATGTGAGGTGGTGGCTAAAAACACTCCTCAAATGGTGGACACTAAGGGCGCGTTGGGTTCGTAGCCGGAAGTTGCCGCACCACGCCATAGGTTTCGCGTGACATATGAGTCACGTGTTTGGTTAGCTGCTGAAGGTTTGGCGCCGCCAGCGCTTGCCATGCGACGTCAGTTCATTTTGCCTCCATGGGATGCCAAATGTGTGGCGGACGAATCATCCACCGCACTTGCAGCGTGGCCACGTCTGCGGCATGGCGTGCGTAGGCAGGCCCCAAATAGGGCCTAAGTCCCCAATGTGCTTAGCAGCACTCTCTGGTTGGCCACCCCTTCTATATATGGAACAGGGAGCAAAACTAGCCGTTACAGGCGCAAAACGACCCCTCACTAGAATTTTTGAGATGGGAACCCGGAAATTCCGTGGCGGCCCCTACTATCAACAACCAACGGTAAAAAAAACTTGATCATTCAGCAACCACACCAGCCCACACCAGAATTTTTGGGGTGGGCTACCCGAAAATTCCGGTTGAAGTCCTTCAGCATCCAAACTCAACTAAAATGACCATAACTTCTTACTCCGAACTCTGATTTTGATGATCTTGGACCTTTTAGAAAACTTATTCAAAGGGCTACATAACCCACTTGAATATTTGATCCAAAATACAATGTATCAACATAGAATTCCAATCCAAGAACCATCCCACAGTAGATTGGAATTCCAATCCAAGAACCATCATCCCACAATTCCAATCCAAGAACCATTCCACATTGGATCAACACACCAAAAACCTTTTTTTCAAAAGCATGCCAACTTCAAATGATGTCCCACGGGCTGGGATGATCAACACCTTTAAACCTTAGTTAGCATTTTCTAACCATTTTCAAAGGTTTTTCTCTCAACTTTCAATCGTCACTCGATCCTAGCAACGCATACATGCAGTGTTAGATTGCTCAAGTGGCATAATGACCGATATGCAAATAAGTTTGTCCCTCTTAATAGTATGGCCATCTATTATAAACCCTGCCAAGCTCCTCTCTCCTCAACCTTAGACTGGTGAAATGAAATGCCATATACATAAACCTTTACCTTGCACATTCCATTTCATCTCATCCGCCAGTGATGCCACACAAGCATCCAACCTCCATGATGCCACTTGCAAACAACACAAGTCTTCGATGGCCGGATTGATACCTCGTAGGTGATATGATCCACTTCATGTCATCATGTGGTCTTATTGGTTCATCGATTGGAACTTTGCTTGCTCTTCAACATTGCACTCGGTCCATCGACACCAAGTCCTTTCTCTAGCTTCACCGCCACATGGTCGATTGCACCCGAGCCTCTGACTTGCCCTTCACAATAGCAACCCGGTCCATCGTAGCCAAGCCATGTTTCTTGATCTTCTCCACCTAGCCACATGACACCATATAATGTCTTATATGCAATGAGCTCCTCCAAAACACTAGTTGAACACTTGGAACATAACCAAGCCACCTCTCCACAACAGCTTTAAGTGTTGCTCACACTAGTGTACCTGTGGACTAATCCCTGTGTAAGACATGGGTGGCAGTTTAGTCCTTATGGAGAGAAATTAGAGCATAAACCCAATGTTCTAGCCCCTAAATCCACGATGTTGAAATACACCTTTTAATCAATAGTTGCATATACCCTTAACCAATATTACATATCATTATAATTGGTGGTAGCAAACTAAGAAAGTCTAACCACATGCAAAAACCCATTGGTAACAAGGAACAAGGATCAACGTCTAGGTAAAACCTTAGCTTATATCAGATTAGACACATGCACATGAATATGTTGTATTAAAGGTGAATATGTATAAGGAAACCTCATATTATACTTGCCTTGCTTGTATTGTTGCTAGTTTTGGTTTTCAAAGAATAACTCCTGGTCACCATCATTCTGCACATGATATAACATGAACTCTTTAGTTACCGCTTTTATCTCTTCTACTTGTGTTTAGCCTGTGTGTCCAATACCTTCCAAGATTATCTATAGGCTAGATAGGATGGGCTCTAGGTTGCAAAATTCTTTTCGGGTTGAGGCTAAGTTAAGCTAACTAGAAAAACTTAAGTGCACATCTTGCTTGAGTAGTGTATAGTTTTTCTTGTGGTAGCTTAGGTTGAGCCCTAGGTTTGAGGTTTGGAAATTAGACACCCAATTCACCCACCTCATGGGTGCTCACATGGCCTTGCACCAACAAACAATTCAAGCACATTGTCCTAGGTCCTAGGACCACCAGAAATGGGTGCTTGAAAGTGTGGCTGGCTCGATCTGGCACTGGTGATCTGACCAAAAGCACCGCTACTAGGAAGCAACTGTCCTCCAAACCCTAGCTGGTGCCTCCACCTCCACTTGTGGGACAACGTGACAGGGAGGAGGCAAGGTGCTATATGGTGGTGGAAGATGTGGACCGGTGAGATGTTGGCGTTTGGGACGGGGGCGATGTGAGACGAGGCGGATCGATGGAAGGAGAGGGAAACACGAGCTTCCAGGCACAGTTCATGTGGACACCAGTTTTTAGTTAAGCAACCCTGTACAATTTAGAGATCAATCCGCGCCCTACCTTATTTTAAAATAGTTGCATTTCTTTTATTCTTGACGATTTGATGCAAATATAAGCCGCTGGATCAAATGAGTTGGACGATCGCTTTAATTTGGCACATGACAGTTTCATGGGCACCAAAATTTCTCTGTTTTTTCTCTTTACCATAGTATGGTTTACCTTTGGCTATGCCTTTGAAGTAAACTTGGTACGTACTACTCGCTTTAATTAACATCCATGAGATTAATTATAGGCAGAACTGAGCTCAGCTTGTAGCTTGTACTATGCACCCTGTGCTGCACACAAATCTACCTCGGCTGAAGCTCTGAGATGGACATCTCGTTCTCTGAAACCGCAGCCGTTGAGCGCTGCTGATCGCCAATCAGCACACTGTCAGAACTCCAAGAACCGGCTGTTGGGCCACCTGAGGCAGCAGCAGTGAAGCCGGAGCTGAAGGCGAAGGCTGGCCTAGACGGGGTTTGCCTGTCATCGGAAGTGGAGGTCGGACTGCTGAGCATAAGCACCACAGCAGAGGCGTCCGGCCGATCGGCCGGGTTCTCTTGGACGCATAAAAGCCCGATCTCAATGCAGTTGAGGACCTCGCTTTCTGAATAACCCCATTCGGACATCAATGGGTCAACCACATCTGCTGTCGAACCTGTTCTCCACTTCTCCCAGACCTGCACAGACCATTGATTTCATATATGAGTATGTATATGAAGAAATACATGGGACACGGGAAAAATCATTCTTAGCAACATCGCACACTTACATGGCTCAGCACAGACACGGAGTCTATTTCAGAGTCGTATGCACAGTTGTTCCTTCGCCCGGTCACCATCTCCAGGACTATAACACCGAAGCTGAACATGTCTGACTTGGAGGAGACGTGCCCCCAGCATGGATCTGGAATTCGCCCCGAAATCACTGAATTTCGGTGAAATTCACCCAATTCGGTGAGGAGCGAAACAGCCAAAAAATTCAGATAAATTCGATTTTTCGGTCAAGTCTAGAGTTAAAACACGCCTACAAGTTCTTATTTCAATATAGAATTGCAAATTTACCAAGCTATAATTAATTCATTTCATCTTCATGCTTTTTTATCAAATTTTGGACAAAATTCAATCAAATATTAGCTAAATTTGAACAGTTTGACCAGTCAAAACGACTGAATCCTGGTCCAAAATTTCCGAAATTCCCGAGATTCACCCATTTCGGTCAGGTCCGAAATTTTTTGTCATTCGAATCCCAGAACCTTGGCCCCCAGTAGGCATACTCCGGGGACATGTACCCGCTGCATGCATCAACAATGTGCTATCAAGATCAGCAACTAAGAATTAATCGAGCTTATTGACTAATTATATCGATTGGCACACTCTATTAGATCTTGGGACATACAGGGTTCCGACAGGTCGTCTTGTTATATCCCTAGATTGGTCTCCTTGGAAAGCTCTGGCGATGCCGAAGTCTGAAATTTTAGGGTTCATATCCGCATCGAGCAACACATTGCTCGGCTTCAGATCTCTGTGGATGACCTTCAGGCGGGACTCCACGTGAAGGTAGAGAAGTCCCCGTGCATCTGGAGAACCTGAAGAAAACGCGCATCTAGCCGCAAAGGACCAACACCACCAACTATGCCGTGCCACATCAAGGCCTTCATGCCTTACTGTCCGCGGCCACCTGCACACGGCAACCTCCATGCCCACTTGCCGAGCATAGATTCGGGAGGATGTAGCCTCCTCATGCGGCACCAGATCTACCACCTTCGCTACACCGTCGCAGCCCCAAAGCGCTCTGTCCGCCGTGACGCCGCATGCCCGTCGCGCGAACTTGCCGCCACATCTTCGCGCAGCCCTCTGCCGAGCGCGGTGGCCGCGCCTCGCTGCCATCGCACGGCTCTCAGACGGCTGCCGCTCGGCCCTCCATGGCCCGTGCAGTTTGCCATGCCAGCCACCACGTTGCCCTCCATGCCTCTTCTCTGCAGCGTGCGGCTTGCCTCCGCGCCACTGCCAGTCGTCGGCCCTCTACGCCGGCGTCATGCAGCCCTTCGCCCACCACATGGCCCTTCGAGCCACTCCTCCGTAGAGCGAGCTAGGCGCACCACCACGCTGCTATCGCCACCGCTCAGCCCTCCGCGCCTTCGTCGCGCGTGTAAGAAAAATGTACCCTTGGCCCATTTAGTTTGAATTTTGGTGTTTGGTGATCAACACAGCTAAATTGGACTAATATATTTGCAAGTATTTATTTTGTAGTCCAATAGATTCAATAGCGGACTTGGATTTAATTGAAACAAGAAGAGTGTGATCAACACCGAAAAGAAGGCATTAGAGGAGGTGTTGACAACCTAAAAGTGAAACAAGAAGTCTAAGATGCAAAGATGAAGAAGTCCGGAAGAAGGATCACGAAGAAACGAACAAAGGGCAAAGCTGCATCTGGCATCGAAGACGACCGTGTGCACCGGATAGGGTGGCACCAGATAGGTCCTGTGCACCGGACATGGGCACCGCCATATTTTTTAGAGACTTTGCAAATCGGATGGAATTGCCCAGAGAGTACCGGACAATGAACAATACTTGTCCTGTGCACCGGACAGTGAACAGTGTAATGACTAGTTTGAACATATAGCCGTTGGGAGGAGGCACCGGACTGTGAACAGTACTTGTTCTGTGCACCGAACAGTGAACAATACAGGCATGGGACAGTGAACAATACTTGTTCGGTGCACAGCGCCTCCAATGGCTAGTTTTGAGTTCGGGCTTATAAATACCACCCCCAACCGACCAAATGAGATGTGAGGGAGCAAGGGAAAGCTAGTGAGGTTTGCATACCTCTTGATCAAAGGTACTTGCGTGCACCGTGCTTGTACTCGAAGGGGCTTATAGTCTTGCGAGACCACACCAATCGTGCTTGTAGTGTGGCCGCCACCGTGTACCGAAGGGAACAAGGCCCGCGACGGTTCAACCAGAAGCTCGATAGTGAATACGAAGGGAGCGGTTCGAGAGAGGCTTGTCGGAAGGCACACTGGAGACCCACTTGCCCATGGGGAAGGCCCGTATCCACGGAGTTACCTGACCGGGACCTTGGCCCTTGCGAGGGATTCTTTATGAGGGGCTCCAACGAGGACTAGGGGGAAGGTTGAACGCTTCTCGATACCTCGATAAAAATACCGGAGTTGTCGACGGGAGTTTGCATCTCTATCACCCTTCTATCTTCTGCATTTATATTATGTACCTTGGGTGCATGCTTACTTTCCTAGATTTGTTTTTATGCTAGTTGATAGGATTGGAACCTAGAATACATAACTCTTTTGAGGTAGAGATAGCAACATACCTAGCAAAATTGTAGTTGCACATTTAGATAGATTACTTTCTTGCATAGGTTTTGACTAGGTGGAATTAGAGGCCGTAATTAGAAGTAGAATTTTAAGTTGCCTATTTCACCCCCCTCTTAGGCATCACGGTCCTTATAGCGTGGACGTCCATGCTGCTCGTGCCGCACCACCGTCGTGTGTCACCGCGTCACCCGCGGCCTCCGAGCCTCCTCGCTCGTTGCCCGAGCTCTGCAGCCGCTGCATGGGCTGGAACAGTCAGATCCATGCATCAACTCACCAGATCTGGCCTCTCCACGTAGATCCGGCCTGGGGAGAGGCGGATCAGCTCACCGGAGCACTAGGGCCGACCACCGAAGGAACCATCGCTGCTGGAATTTTTTCGGGTCCCAACTAGTCGGAGAAAACCTTGCCGCTGCCTTCCTCGTGGGAGCACGGGCATCCGGTGGGCCGCTCGGGCGGCGGCGAGGCAGGCGGGACGGAGGTTTGTGGGCAGTGGCGCTAGGGTTGGGGGTCCGCCTGAGCCGCCACACAGGAGCGACGTGGGGGCGAGGTGCTTTTAACTCATGACCTACACTGCCGCTCATAGTGGTTACTCTTTGGGATGGGTGTAATCTCAAATATACTTTTAGGAGGTGTGTAAATGATAGACTTATGAATCTTTGGCTAGAGTTAGTTCAATTAGCCTCTACTATTAGTTTTGCTAAAGAGGAGGATTCTTTGATTTGGCAGTTTAACTCTAATGGTGTTTACTCTTCCCAGTCCTTGTACAAAATTATTAATTTTAGGGGTGTCATTCCATTGTATGTGCAGTGCCTGCAGTCTGGAGTCTTAAGATTCCTCCTAGGGTTCACTTCTTTCTTTGGCAGTTTTCTAAGAATAAGTTACTGACTAGAGATAATATGAGTTTTAGAAGAAAGGTAGATGACCAGTCCCTGCATGTTCTGTTCTGAGACTGAACCAGGTAATCACACCTTTTCTTTGAGTGTGTGGTAGCTAGACAATTGTGGAGCTATATGTCTGAGACTTTGGACAGGGACGTCGCCATAGATTTTGTATCTTTAGGTACCATGTGGCTGAGCAATAAGAAAATTTTAGTAGCTATTATGTTTTGTGTTGCTGCCCTGTTGGGGCTATCGAATGGAAATTGAGGAATAATCTATGCTTTTAGGGGCTATTGTAGAAGGATGGCCGTGTGCTGTTATTGAAGGTAATAGCCATGATACAAAGCTGGTGTGTCCTCTGTCCAAAGGAGAAACAGGAGGAGTTCTTGATACGGCTGGAGAAGATGAAGAGTCTGCCCACAAGACCTCACAGGTTACCTGGTTGAAATAAAGTGAGTAACAAATTGGAGAGGTTCCTATTCCAAACTGCGAATGACCGGAAGAGCACAAATGTACCTGAGGAAGCTGAAGTTTTGCCGATGGATGGCACTGATGGAGCAGGCGATGTTGGAGAGTAAACGGATCAATTTGTCTAAGTTTAGCGATGTTTGGGGGATGTAATCTCAGCGTTGTTTTCTCGGTTTTAGTTTTTTTCTCCAGTTAGTATGGTTTAACGTACTTTGCTTTAAGGTTTTGATGTAATAAACGCTATATCTGTTGGTCTTGGTAATGCAAAGGCGCGGGCTATGCCCTTGAACTCTAAAAATAGGCAAAGAACCTGTTTTCACCATTTTTCGACAAATCAGTCATATATTTTGATTGTGCATTTTAGTTAAAGTGACAACCTGATACTCTAGTACTGCACAGTATGCATTCCAATTCACGATAATAGTGCATCATAACTGAAAGTACCTAGTATGTTGTAACATTGCATTTTGTGTATATATAGAGGAAAATGTACCTTAACACTTCTCCAAAACCTCCCTCTCCAAGTTTGTTTTCATCTGAGAAATTGTTTGTTGCAGCTCTTATCACAACTAGATTAAGTTGCACGGACACAAAATATTCAGTGTCCTCTTCTTTGCTACTATTGTTGTCTGTCACAAAAGAAATAACATATATCCATAAGGATAAGATGAACTTAATATAGTTCAAATTCTGGTGAGAGGCTGACATTATTATTAAGTGGAATCTAGTGAGAGCATGCCCATCAAATTGAGAAATGAAATATCATTTTTCCTTAAAATTTATCATATAAGGGATGTGGAGGACAAAAACACGATTGAGTAGATAGAGAAAAGGCCCCTTTCCTGAAAATATTTCCCCAATTGAAAAAAAACAATTCGCAATACACTAAAGAAGGGCAGCACCCAGCATCTGCTTCCTTTCTCTGCCTCTTTGCACTAGTTTTCCTCACCTGTGTCGTAAAGGTTGTGCGCAGATCACCAAGCCACTGCCGTGCCAAGGCTACAATCGTTGACGATGGAGAGAGAGTGTGCGGGGTGATGGGAAAGTGGAGGGGGTAGCCGAGCACCAAGAGGCGAGAGGGAGAGGAAAGAGAAAAATTATTCGCCCCACTTACAAATGGGTCCCACATGTAAGTGGATGTAAGGGGATGAGGCTTTCTTAGCCTCCCGCATCAAACCTCCATTCTTAACTTGGAATCCTGTTTTCTCAATTTCATTTAAATAGATACAGGGGGATTGAGTTTTCTCAGGCCGCTGGAGATTCTCCTTTCTTAGAAGTAACATCTTGAAAAGAAAAGGCCAAGTGTAAATGTAAGTTTTTTTAAAAAAAATGGCCCATAGTTAATCTCATAGTTAAATTAATTTAATGTTAGTACTTTTTTATATAGCTTTATTAAACTTTAAATTGTTTGGCTCCTCAAGAAATGAGAATTTACATATATTCAAAAAACTGAGAATTACATCTTTTGTGGGTGGAGGCAGTATAATAATAGTTCAAAGACAACATTATAATTTATAAAGCGATATAATCAAAAAATCCTTTTCATCAAAATTAAAGAGTCCTTTTGGATTCCCCATCACGGCACCCAGATTAACGATTCAACCGCTGGCAAGTACACGTAGATCTTAATTAACTAGGAGCATGGGCGTACCTTGTGGATTTTGCTTCTGCTTGGCCTTATTTCGTCTGTACAGGAAGATACCAACGACGACGACTGCAGCAAGCACCGTTCCAACAGCGAGCGCGACCGGGAGAGTCGTGCCGAACGTCTTTTTTCCTGCGTTCCAGCCAGTTGTTATCTTTTTTTTTTCTTTTTGAGAACATACAACACCACGCACATTTCATTAGTGGTACTGTATTTCATTAGGGTTCGGTTAGCTGGGAATGGGCAGGAATTATTCCAGCACATCAAAGGCTATGTAAATTAGGCAAGCATTCCTGATGGGAATTGTTCTAGGCAACCATTCTAGCTCAACCGAACGATGCCTTAGGGAGAACAGAATGCGACTCTCTGTTGGTTCATATATATATATATATATATATATATATATGCCATCTTCATCCTGTGTTGTAGCATAGAGCGAATAGCGAGAGTGTAGTCACGATACAAGGTTACTGAGAGAGATGCATGTGATCGATTCGAGTTTTGTTTGTCTGGTTTCCACGTCTAAGTACAAAAAGAAATTATTCTTTTAAAGGTAGTAGTATCTCAAAATAAAGTACCTAACAAAAATCTATAGAAACTTGTCAGCAAGGATACGGTGTAAAGTTTGGAGTAACGTTCACTAGAATTCACCTTATTTTTTCTGCCATATATGTTTATATTGAACAAAGTCTATACAAACTCGTCAACAAGAATATAGGGTGCTGTGAAGTTTAGATCAGACAAGAAGGTTCACTAGGGCTCAATGATTTTTTTCTCTTGCCATGTTTATAAGCAAGACATAGAAAAGTTTATTTTTCTCTTCCACTATAAGACACGAGCATAACTGCTAGTAAAACTTATATCTATCTATATATCTCTTATAATTCTCAACCCCACTAGAATTGTATCTCGACATGCCATCAACAATCCACTACCACATGCAATTAAGCTATCCACATCAGCAAGCGCCTCATCATCGTCAACTAACAATATTTATTATTCATATTAGCATTACCACGCTCCAATTCATTCATGATTTCCGCAGCAGCGTGCAGGATATGCTTCTAGTATATAGTATAATGCATACAAGTTCACAAGCTCACCTGGCCGACCTACTCCAGCGAAGGTCGAGGGAGCTGGAGCTGGAGCTAGAAGCGGTGGCCCATCGAGGGCCAGATCATAGTAGGGGTAGACCTCCATGCGCAGGTAGCAGTTGTAGCCGATCACAATCCCGCCCCTGTGACCACGGCAGCACGACGGCAGCTGCTGCACTGAGTCATTCAAGCACTTGGCGCACTCCGCCGCCGTCCGATCCCTCATGCACTGCAGGAGCCCATACATGGTGCCGTTGGGCGCAGTGGCATCGTACACTGCTGCCCCTGTTGCGAACATCGGTGCTGGCGATGGCGTGGTGGAGCCGTTGACGACGCGCCCGGAGAGGCTACTCATGAGCGTGCTGTAAGCTGTCTCCAAGACAGCCGTGTTGGAGACCACAAAGTTGTTGTGCATCTCCTGCCGGTACGTGTCCTCGTAGGCCGTGGATGCGTTCATGTCGGCGTAGCTGACGAAGCAGAACATCGGCGCCGGATATGTCACCGTGGAGCCGTCGTCGTACCAGATGGCTGCGCGGCGGGTGGTGTTGCAGCGGCTCCTGATGCCGAGCGCGGCGTTTTGGAGGTACGTGGCGCACTGAGCTGGCGTGGAGTCGCCGCGGCAGATTCCGCCGACAAAGGCGCGGTCAGTGCCGTTGCCACGGGACAGGGAGGCGAAGCCCGTGGGTGCCGCGGCCGACGGGAGCGCGTCCGGGAGCGCGACGACGTTGGACCAGAACGTGCTGTTGGTGGAAGAAGAGGCCGCCGTCGACGACGATTGGCAGTCGAACCAGGTCCACTCGCTGTCCGCGGATAGCACGACGGTGAAGAGGCTGGCCACCATGGCAAGGAAGAAGAGCAGGCCAGAGCCACGGGATGGAGACGACGGCATGGTGGTGTTCCGGAGGTGTGGCGACAACGGCACTGCAGGAATCTCATCCCACACTTGGATGATTGCACGCTGTGACGCCGATGGATGCCGGACCAACCCGATGGTGAAGACTTGGTGCATGGACTGTTCGATTGGCAAAGCTAAGACTGAACTTGCCTGATGCCGTCGACTATGACGACACATTTGTTCGTTACATCTTTTCGTAAGAATATGGCGCGCGGCGAATGGAATAGCTGTCTGGACACGTAGGCATGTGAAATATCTTTCTATCTTGGCGGCTCGACTGGTCAGGTGGTGAGGCTTGCCGACCGGAGTTCAAAGGCCTAAGGCCTCAGCCTGCCGACCGGAGTTCAAAGGCCCAGGCGGCCGAATTTCCGGTACCCACAAAAAAAAAATCCCCTCGCTGTGCACACGAGCCTGGTGACTGCGTTGGCTCTGGTCTGATGATCTGTCCCGGTTCACTCGGCCTTTCGGGGTTTGTGCCAGGGTTCGGGGGTTTTCTCGACCGGGGTCATACGGTCCCTTCCTATAACATTGCCGTGAGGGCGGTTCTTCCCTCACCGGTCGAGTTTTTTTTTATCTTGGCGACTGCACTTGATCTGTAGTTGGATCCGGTGATTTGTAACAGTTGATTTGTTCAAAGGAAAAAATCACACCATATATGTAATATATTTTTTTTACTTTTGCTATTTGTCTACTAAAAGACTTTTTACTAAATCTGTTAGATTTATATATGTTTAATTGTGCTTTTTAGGATTTGCTACAACCGTCACTTTTACGGGTTTGTAACTACTGGGTTGCATTTATAAAAAATCTGACAGATTTGACCACATAAAATCTTTCGACAAATAACTAGAGTCTTTTTTTTTATTTGTTTGTGTGGACATGAATATTTTGTTTGGCTGTCCGTTGTCATCCGGATGTTCATGCTCCTCTTCCACCTCACGTGGCACATCTGCCACCAGACTTATGTCTAGGGCTCCCCCACGGTCGGATCCTACACTGGTCTTGATGCCAAGGGCTCCCCGTGGGGCCTCACTTGTTGCCGCAAGATCACGGCAATAGCCACCCATGGTACAAGGTCCTTGCACCTTGCTTGGGAGCAAGATGTGTGGCGATGTGTGCGAGTGCGTGCGGGTGTGCCCTGCTCTCCATGCCACCTCGCCGTGGACCTCCCCATTTGCGACGGCAATGACAAGCGTGATTTGTCACACGGCCATATGGAACAGGAGAAACAAGTCTTAATAATTGAGATACCTTAGATCTTTTCTATAGGTGGTTATGATAGTTACTTTCATGTTATTAGTATTCTGAGACAAGTGGCTCTAGGACAAGTTAATGTCTTCCTTATGTACTATGCACATTTGACTTATGTACTATGCCCATTTGATTAAGGCATTGATATGGACAAATTGGTTATGGAGGTTTGTTTTCCTTTGATTGGATTTGAGTTTCTCATATCGTCTTTTATATGCTTATGGAAGGCTATGAAAAAATAATATTTAAAAAATATTCTGTGCAAATGAGTAGGATTAATTAGAGCTTTGTGATTGCATCTGGTGAATGTGATCTCCGAGTGCTAAATGTATTCTCCGAGTGCTAAAGTGACCAAAAATACTGAGTGCTAAAGTGAAAAAAAACGGTAAATGCAGCCGTTACCGTGATGCGACTGTCCGTTAGCATCTCGCTTTCAAGTGAAGATAAGGGCACTCCTAATGCTAGAAATCACCATAGTTTTCATAGCTTAGAGACCCCACCACTAGAAACCATCCTTCCCAATGCACAATCTGTACGAGTAGCTTCTATGGAGAAAGAAAATTAATACGCAACACAAACAAAGGAGATCAAGTGTGGCAATCCAACCATATATGCTGCACCCACATTCAGAAAGCAATACGAGATACGTTCAGAAACCATGTGGGCAGGCGGCAGCGCTGCTTCACGGGCTGCTTCACAGTTAAAGATTCAGTCAGTCAACATGTTCAGTCAATATGCTGAAGAGAAACATGGTAATTACAAAGGAAAGACAAATATGGCATCTAGAGATCACGTTTGACTATACCAGGTTAACTTGTTGTAAGTCTGCACAAAGCAAAAATATTCAGATGCGGCATCGTCAAAATGTTCAGATGCCGACCAGATGAGTCCCTTTACCATTTCAGAACTGTTTGCAGTCACAGATCCAAGTAAATAAGCAGTACAAATTTAACTGCATATTTGAGCAGCATATTAGTGAGAAAAATCAATCTCATACCTTAATCATCTATTTGGCATTGGGATCTTGAGCACGAGTGGTGTCATGACCCAATCATGACATGTTGCTTATCATGCTCATCATACGCATTCTAATCTTAATTGAAGTTCATCTTGTGCAAAACCTAAACCAAGATTGCTCACTATTGGTTCTGATGGAGAGGCCGTCCTGCCCGACGGAGAGTCAGTCAAGTCACTTAGACGACCTGACAGAATTCAGTTTCTGTCAGCGTAGTCAATACCCAGCGGAGAGTCCGCCAAACCCGCGGACAATCCGTCAGTCCATCCCAGCAGAGTTGAGGTGTCACTTTAGAAATCCCTTTGGCCCCACACCATAACACACCTGTCCACTTCGTGTTACCCTAACCCTAAAGCCATAGCAAGCACACACGCTCATTCTCACACTCCCTCTCTCTCTAGTTGTTGTTCTCTCTCTACTCTCTCTCTCTCACCAAAGAAAGCAAAAAGGAGAAGGAAAAGAGGGGAAAGGAGAAGGGAATGGGGAGTGCTGCAGCTGGAGATCACCATGGAATTCACCTAGGAGTCGAGCACCACAAGAGGTAGAGATTGGAAGAGGGAGGAGCCCTCTTATCCCCACCATTTGGAGCTTGGAGGCGAAGGGAGCAAGAAGCAAAAAGAGCTCAAGTCACCGAGGGGGAGATCTAGCTTCTCCATCAACATGGGGAGCTTGCAATCCACTTTTGCAGCCCTTGGTAAGGATCAAATCGAGCCACCTTGCCTCACATGAGCACAAAACATAGAGATAGCAAGTTTGTGACCTAGAAGTTGTTTGCACACAATGTAGCTAGAACCACCTAGCTAGATATACTCCTTAGCGCACTAGAAACCTACCCTGAAGATGGTTCACACATGCAAACACCCTAGGTTGAGTTTTAGATTTTGAGATACAAGAACACTGCACTGTCAGCCAGCTGACAGAGGGTCTACTGAACCTGGCGGAGAGTCCATCAGGACCGTAGTCGACATTTCACACTTGATTAGAGTACTAAATGATTTGGCGGAGTGTCTGTGGTGAGCAACGGAGTGTCCGCTGAATTATAAACCTTGTTTCCAGAGAAACCCGAGAGTATCCAGTTCTTGGCGGATGTTCCGTCAATCCTAGCGGAACGTTCTGCAAATCCAAGAACGTAGGTACACTAAGTACCCTACAGACCTAGCTGGACGGATGGTCCGTCACCCATGACGGAACGTTCCGTCAGCACCACCACAGAACCTAAATAGGCAGAGCTATAGACTTTCTTGACGGAGTGTCCATGAATCTTTACAGAGTGTCCGTTGATTTATAGACCAAAAACCTGAGAATAGCAAGTTGATACCTAGACTTGGCAGAGTGTCCGCACCCTGTGGCGGAGTGCCCGTTGAGTTGAGGTCGTCCAGTTTCACTAAGTACCTGAGTTCACAAACTGTCCGTGCCTACTAATGTAGTGTCTGTCAACCGACAGCCCAAGTACACTATACCACGAACACTTAATTCATATAATCAAAGTGTAATCAATTAACACCAATGCATCTCATGTCATGTCATTTACTTTATGCATTGTACTCTTGCATTATGCATATATAGGTATCCCCATTTTCAGATTTCAGGTTGGCAATGGTGTTTTTTTTTTTTGCGACTGCAATGGTGTTTCTTCTATTTATAAGAGTTGCATTAGCATGGAAGAATTTAGTCCCTGCATCCCCCAAGGTAGCCCATTTGATTGCCCCTCTCTGTTTCTAGTAAACTCTTTGCTGTTCAAGTAAAGATAGTAGCTTGTCCCTTAAGATTGTTCTGAAATTCCACTCTTCAAGGCTTAAGTCCCTGAATTCCTCAATTGAATCAATTAGTTGCAAGGTGAGGGAGATGTTGGAAATAGAAATCTTCAAGTTGGAGAAATTGGAACTCCAAGTTTTTAGAGCCCCTCTTAAGTTTTTACACTTTCTGGTTAGGATTTTAGCCTTATCTGTAATTTGAGATGGAGCATGCTAGTTTTCAGATAAAATCTCTTGAAAGTCATCCCTGAGCAGCCAATAATTTTCAAATCTGAAAATATTAGCCTTGGAAATAGAAGATGAGATGGAAATAAGCAAGGGACTGTGATCAGAGACCTCATGACAAAAACCTTGCAAATTGTTTCAGGGTAAGTTAAAGTCCAGCAATTGTTGGTGAAGACCCAGTCAAGTTTCTCAAGAAGGGGTGGTTGCTGCATATTTGACCAAGTGTATTTTTTACTTTGTAAAGGTATATCAGACAGGACCATATGGCTGATTGTGCTATTAAAAAGAAACATGTCATTGAGGTCAGCCCCTTCCCTATTTCTATTTTCTGGATATCTATACAAATTGAAGTCACCTAGAATAATCCAGTCTTCATCATCAGGGATATCAATGTTTTTTAGCCAAATTGTGAATTCAATCCCTTCTGCAGTGCATGGACCATATACATTCATCGGGGTCCATATGTTGTCATTGTGTTTTGAGCTAAATTCAACTACTAGTGAGAAGCCACTGATGAGTTTTAGTGTTCCTGCCAAGAGATGTGATTTCTAGGCCACCAACAGCCCACCTGAGGCACCCACAGATGGTACAAATAGAAAATCATCGAAATCAGGTGGAAGAACTTTCCTGATAAACATTTGGTAAAAATTAGTTTCTTTCTTAGTTTCTTAGAAGCATACAATGTCACAATTGGCTTCCATCACTTTGTTCCTAATAGAATCCCATTTTCTAACTGCATTCAGTCCCCTGACATTCTAGCAAAGTACATTCAATTCTCTAATTGAGCTTTGATTCATTTTCAAATATAATTCTGATCTGACTTAAACATAGCTCTAGCCCAGCTCCAAGCTACAGAGTTTACAGTAAACAACCAACTCCAGTTGAAGTACCAAAATGATCTTACAAACCAGCAGCCTAATACATTTTCTAGCCATAGTTTGACAAAAGACTTGAAGATAAACTTTTTACAACAGATGAAGAAACCATAGGCTAAACCAAAAGCTGTCATATTCTGGTTTCTTCCCATTGATGCTAGGATGAACTTTTCATCTGCTTCTTCTGAAGCTTTGTCCTCCTCTCCATCTCCATGCTTGGGCTGCTCTTCTCGGGCTTGGGATGGTGATGGATCTTGGAGTACAATTCTGGCCTTTGCAATTGGGTGAGTTTTCACTCTCTTCATCTGTAAAAGATCATCACTAAGCTCAGACTCATCCAGCTTACAAAATCCAAAGGCAAGCTTTTTAATTACTTCTTTTTTAGGATTAGAGGTTTGGTACCACAAGTTAGACATTTTATATTAGTACAACCTTTTGATTTGAAGCCTTTAGCTGAATTTTTTATTCTGGGGCTTCTTCTTACCTCAGTTTCCACTAGGGCAGCAGATCTCTTGGAGTTTCTTTTCTTTGGGGGGAACATCTTTGCTGGTTCCTTTTTCCAGCTCCTATCTTCCTCTGAAGCTACCAAACAAGCAAAGTTACATTCTGGGCAAGCTGTTGGTATAGAAAAGTCAATTATACCAGAGTCACTATTGTTTAGAAAGGATGGGACCTTTGCTGATAGGAGCTTCTTTATCCAGTTAAAATTTCCATGTGTTAACACAAGAACTATAAAAAATTTGCCCAGTCTGCTGGAATGCTGATGTGAATATTTGAAGCATTACCTGATGAAAAGAATCTGGCCCATAGGCGAGTTGCTTCAGCATTCATGGCCTGTGACCAAGCTAGATCCCTCTCCTCAATCCTCATTAGCGCATAACCAAGCTGCACATTATTGTTTTGAGACTGCAACTGAATTTGCTGAAAGTCATCTGCCACCATAGCTTCAAGTATCCCATTTTCCTCTGGCACTACCTGATTACCTCCTCCTTGTGCCTCTGGTTCTTCTGGTACTTCCTGGTTCTCACCCATTTGTGCCTGAATTTTATTGTCTGGGCCATTGTCATGCTGCATTTGTTCAGGGGCCTCTTCTTCTGGAAATCCTTCATCACCAGGAGCAACCAGCTGGTCCAGAGGGATTTCATCCACCAGGTAATCGACTGGGGATCCCTGAGGAGCAGGGATAATATTGTTTTCTTCCATGTGAACCTCATTAGCCAGCTCCATCAGTTCTTGCTCTTGGGGGTTTGGGGGTTAAGCTAGTATACTTCCCCTTCATGCTGCAGCAGGTAATGCACTTCCTCATTCTGCCCCTGAAGATCATTTAGCTCTATGAAATCACCATTTTGATCAGGCTATAGAGGGTTTATAATTACTAGGTCAAGATCCTGATTTATAGGTGGCTGATTGAGATCCAAACCAGCACCATCCTCATCTTGAGGCTCTTCATTGAGGCTCATAGGAGGTTCATGCTCTTGGGCCTCCTGCATTTGATGCTCTTGGACCTGAATTCCCATTGGCCATGGATCGCAAGCCCTTGCCCTGATTCTGATTTTCTTGACCATCTGGCCCATTGACAGGTTGGCCCAAACCAATGAAATCAAATGGAAGTCCCTGTTCCAAGTCTAGATTTTTAGGGATGGGGTCTTCTTCAGGTGGACCTCCTCCCTGTGGCTTGTGCTGCAATACCTCACACTGTATCGTCCAAGACTGTCCATCAATTGTGTCAGGTTCTTCATACACTATGAACTGGGGTACTTTCTGAACATCACTAACCTTGGCTCTTACTAGCAGTCTAGCCAGATATCTTTCATCTGCCTCATACAGTAGAACCTTTGCAAAAGAACCTACTGCTTGCTGAATGTGTCTTTCTGACCAGTAATCACTAGGAAACCCCAGAAGCAACAACCAGCACTCATGGTTGAACTATGCTCTATGCCAGTTTCTACCTAGATCATGCTTACTAAAAGTAACATTGGCATTGTCATAGATGTGGGGGCTCTCCTCAACTAGCATATCCGATTATAGGTGTGAGTTAGCCTGACCAAAGCCTGCCCCAGATTGGTTGGATGTATATCATCAAAAGCAACTCTCTTTTCCAACTGAAGAAAATCCCTAAGTAGTCCACGAACCGCACCAAAGTGAAGGGGATTACCGGGTAAGGGGTTAACGGTGACGATTGCAAGATTCTCGTTTCTTGCCGGCGGACGAACCGGAGCCACCGCCCTCGCCATGAACTCCCGATTGGGAATGTCTTCATACTGCAATTGCTCTAGGATAAAGGGTGCAGGATCAGCTCGCTGGAACACCATGGAATCTTCAGAGGTGGGCGATTGATTGTGGTGGAGCATAGTGGAGAGGGGAGGAGGAGGAGGGTCTTCAAATGGATTGAAGACTTGGAGAGTTGGAGAGCTTCCAGAAGTTGGGGTCCAGTGTTGCATATAAGGCTTGACTGTTATCAGCCACGACCTTGCTAGAGTTATTGGGCCTCAGGCTCCAAGGCACAATTAACTCAGGCACGGTCTCCTTCGTGGGCCAAAAATCACGAGCCAAGTCTCCAAATGGATTAAAGACGGGTGGGCTGGAAGAACACAATTGAGCAGTGGATTCGAGGCCAAACCGCCCTAGATTAGAGACGACGGCCTCCTTTCCATTGGCCTTGCCGGGATTCTGCTTCCCATCTAAGATTTTGAATTGATTAAAGAGGGCAGCGATATGGCCAGGATTACGGCACGCGCGACACCGGATAGGCCATCTACAATTGACGCGCCAATGACCAGAGCAGAGGCAGCGATTGCAGTCTTGTCAGATGCTTGTCTATCGCCATTGATGGAGAGGAGTGGGCGGCAGCCATCGGGAAAAGAATACGATCAAACACTGATCTTCTTGCCGCAGTCACGGAAGAACAGCGGTGCAAGCGCAAAGGAACGGCGTTGGCACCAGAAAGAACACAGGATTTGTACTACTACACTATACACTAGTATCTTTCACAGCCACATTACTCCCATCACAGCCAAATTTTAGCCTCGGCAGTAAGCTATCGGCAGTGATGGTCATAGCCATCACCGTCGGAATCTAAGTCCGACTGCGGTGTACACTACACCACCATATTGGCTTATGATCCGTCCATGATAAGGTCCTTACTTCCGTCGTATTAGAGCACGACACGTCCGTGGATATACACTAACACCGTTGCATTGGCAAATGATCCGTCTGTGTGGAGGCTATCATCACCGTCGTGTGGGCACATCAACCGCTGGTGTAGTGGTCACCAGCACCGTCGCTTTGTACTTCGACCCGACTGTCTACGGTGCAGCTTTGCTGTCGCTTCGACAACCGAGATGTCTATTGAGGTAAACATCACCGTCGCTTCAGTGTATGAACCGGTGGTACAAAGGTCATGGTCACCCTTGCCTTGCACCACGATCCACCTTTGTTGATCGTTTAGTCGGTGTCGGGTTACTAAACGATTCGATGATGATACACTTTTATCCCTGCCGCATAATACGTATAGCGACGGTGTTGAACATTTGCACCACCAACAGCGGTGGTGATAACAAAACAATAAACGGCCTTTAATAGCTTACTGAACACAAAGCATATAGATATAATCATTGCATCCATAAATCATGTTCTTACAATAACAATGGATGCTTACCATAATATCTTTCTCAACTGATGTCCTAACATAAGTGGTACATAAATTGTAAACTAAAGGTACTAATTTCTACAGACTTACATAATGAAACGACGTAGTTATGCTCCTCCTATGTGGCACTCCTTCTTGCTCGGCAAAAATGAATATAATTAGTGCATCCTTCGAATTAGTAGGCAATGCACCATGGAACCCCTCTTCTTCCTCCTAGCCACTATAGAAAAATTGTTCAAAAGCACTTAGACTCCACCTGCACAAAAGTAGCATAATTAATAATATTCAACACACAATTCCTTTAGTTACGAAGCCCAAATTGGCCTATATATGGAATCAAAACAACTACCTACCTGAACAAAGGCATAACGTAATTACAATAAAATACAGCATATGCACCTTTACTGCTCTACTAATGACTCCATGAATAAGGGAACATAAGGAAGATAGCGAGGTCCGCTACTCATACATAATAGTTTCCAGATACTTCTAGGATAGCCGATGACCCGGGCAGGGAGGACATGAACTTTACTATGGTTCATGTCATATGCAAGTAGTGATTTGTCCTCCCCAACAAAGAAAATCAAATTTCATTCTGGATGAACTACAATCACTCTGTAGGCCGCATCACAAACCTCGGTACCAATTTCAATATTCTTCTTTCCAAATAGCTTCAGTGTGGTCACCTTATGCTTCAATGTCTATTTACTGGCACCATAGTCTTCAAGGATCCAGATTGAAAACTCATACCTATTCAAAGTATCAGCAATACATAAACACAACTGATCCTGAGCTTCATGGATGGAGATTGCATCACCAGTTGGCCTACGAATTTTCCTCCATGTCTTTCCCTCCATATCAACAGAACTCCAGCATGTGCATAAAACCATTAACAAATACACCTTTCCCATATGTGGATACTACAATACCTTCGCCCCATTCAGATTCTTTAAAGACCCATGCTCCTGTTTTAGATGAGTAGATGTTGACACCTAAGGAGTCATCATCGTTGATCCCATATTCAAACACATAGAAGTGCGAGTAGACTGTCGGATTAAACCCCAAGCGAGCTGAACCACAAGAATGGTTGCTGCCCGGCAGTAACAACCATTTCTTAGTCACCAGATTGTAGACAACATAGCAAAACCTAGAGTACCAAAAGAGGATGAGGCCCCAGGAGCAATCTGAGATCACAACATCCTGAATGGGGAAGGGCAAGAAGGACAAGGAGGGGTATTCACCGTTGACGTTGGTGAAGTTGCGTTTGCATTTCAAGATGTGGTAGAAGAATCCGGCGAGAAGCTGGGGCAGCTCCTTAAGGTACTCGGATCCTGAGATGAGGCTATTCGAGGAGCAATAGACACACCTGTAGCAGCACAAGGATCGAGCGGTGAGGCGGCTGAGGATGAGAACCTAGACATGGTCTATGAGGATGGCCACTTCATTCCTCTTATTGGGGGCCTCCTCTTCCATCTTTACGAGGATCTAGTAGACTAGGGATGGCGATGGAAGTGGCCACGCTGTTGCCTGAATCAGAGAAGGAGCGACTGCGGAGATGTGTTTGTGAGCTCATTAATAAACAGATGGAAGCTTCATTCATACTCAGATGAGTGAAGAAGGGAATAGAAATTCAAGAACGATGCATAAGGGAAGTGCGAAAGCATTACCATTGTGTTTGGATCTTGCGGCATTGAGCTCGAGCGGTGACGGTGGTGATGAGTACCAGCCTAGTCACCAGTGGATCTGTGTTGTCTACCTGCCGGTGAGACGTACCGGTGCGGAGCACTAGCTTGTCGGCGGTGACTGGCGGCTTGCACGTCGCTGAGTAGGGGCGGTCGCGTAGTTCAGCACTAGGGAGCAGGGGCGGTGATGAGGAACAGCAGCACTGAGGAGGAGAAAGATATAGTGGGGAGTGTCCTTTGTAAACAACTAGATCAGACGCAGAAATGCAAATTTCTACAAAACTTTGCAAATATGCGCGGGAGTGGCGCGTAGGACTCACGCGTAGGCTAGGAAATTGACGAAAGCAGCGGTGAAAGTTACCGACGGTGATGATGTCACACCCAATTTTAAGGATAAAATTGAATGCACAAAACTCGTGTGTGCCCAGGAATCAATCACACACACAAGCTGACAAATTACATAAAGTATCATCACGGTGTCTCATACATCAGAGTTATAATAAAACTTAGTCTTATACATCACAGCGGAATAATAAAAAGATGATAAAACTCTCGTGGCCGTCTTCACAGGGAAGGTCAACTGGTTGACCACAAGCCTAATAATCCTCCGGGAAATCCTCATACCCGTTGTTATCTGTTACCCATCCGGGATTTTTATCCAAGTAAAGAAAATAAACAAGTGTAAGTACATTCCGTACTTAGCAAGCTAACATGGGGTTATGAAGCTCAAAAGGTTAGACTCTGGTTAACTGCAGTTAGCATTTTTAATAGGTCAAGCTTTTATTCTCAAGTATTATCAAGTTATGCTTAAGCTCCCATTTAATTCCCATAAGAACATAAATCGAGTCATATGTACCATATATCATCACTAAACAACTTTATAAGATCATCATCAA